GATGATGCCACAGTTTGCTGAAACCAACCACAGGCTGAGCTTTCCTTGTAGTGCCTCACAGACACGAATCTGTGTCTCATTCCCTTGCCTAATAGTGCCTGATTGTCATCATCCCCATTTTACAGATGAGGAAACAGAGCGGAGGGACCTTCATTCTTCTGTCCATTGTTTTGTTCTGAGACAGGGTCTCGCTATGTGGTTTAGGCTGGCTTTGAACTCACTAAGTGGCCCAGGCTGGCTGGAAGTCCCAGCAATCCTCCTGCCTCAGCCTCTTGAGTGCTGGGATTACAGGTGGGCACAACCACAGCTGATTCTTCTGTCCATGGTTGAATCCCAGCACCTAGAACTGTAGGAATTCAACAAATTTGGCTAAGTCTCAGCACACAGTTGCCCTAATGGGGAGCCAGGGGCCCACAGTCTCAGCTGCAGGGGGCAGGGAGATGGACTGGGGCTCTTGAGCACCTCCACTCCCTTCCTCCTTCATAAGGGCAGAACTCCCAGGGTTGTGGCTGGGACACTCGGGCCCTGTCTGGGTCATGGAGGTCCTCACTGTGTCCCCGCAGGGCAGCAAGGACTGGAGACTGTAGGCAGGGTCCATATGGCTGCTGCTCTCTTCTCTACTACTGCCCTAGCCTGGAGCAAAGCTCCCAGGGATTCCTGTCTGCAGAGTAAGGCAGGGCAGTGGGTGCCCCCCGCCCTAGCCTCTGGGCCGACTGTCCCCTCTCAGGGTCTCTGTGACCTCCCTCCTCCCAGGGGCAGGCGGAGGGCCTGGCTCCAGACAGTGCACGCTCATCCCCACTGCCCAGAGCTCTGCCCAGTGATTGATGGAGGTGCTCTTGCTGTGGGTCCTGGAGAGCACATTTGAATAATAAGTTGACAAAATGACTCTCCTCTTTCGCTTTGCCTGTTTCTGAATCATTTGTTCCTTCTAAGTCATCTGTCTCTTTTGAATTTGAAGAAGAAAGAGGGAGAAGAATGAGGACGAGGAGAAGGAGGTGACACAGGGAACTGAGCAACCGTGAGCCCCACCTCCTTATTTTTCAGAACAGCCATGTCACCAGCCTCCCTGTCTGTCAGTGGGATTTGCAAATTCACCCTATTGTGGAATTACAAAAGGCACCATGCAGGGTGAGGAGGGGGAGCCAGGACTCTTTCCAGGGCCCCGAGTTGCACCTGCCTACTCCCCCTGTGACACCAGTCCTGCCTTCCTGTCTGGTGCAGGGGTGGGGGGACTTCCCACCTCTGAAGAAGAACAGCCAAGGAGGGAGGGACAGGAAGGACATGGCACTCCAGGAGGTCACACAAGGATCACCAGGCACTGGGCAGACACGAAGGAACAAGATGCCCACCCTCAAGCACTCAGAACCAAGGAACTTGGTAGACACATCGCTGGGCAATGTGGTCCTTGTAGACACAGGTAACAACAACGTGGCACTCGGCAGGTGGGCAAGGGAGACCACGGCCAGACTGGTGAGGGCAGTTCTGAAATCTCCATCGCAAGAGGGCAAAGGGCATGGGTCAGAGAGGCTGGGGAGGAAGAGGGGGAGAGAGAAGGGAGCAGGGGATGCAGTGCCCGGATCTGAAACAGGGGTCCTAGAGGTGACCACATGGGTGACACACTGCCCAGCGCCTGGCTGGTGGTAGTGCTGCTCCTGTCCCTGGGGACACAGAGATAATTAATTCATTTTCCCCTAAATGTTTTTTAGGTCCTCTAGGTTTATTTAAGGATGAGCTCAAGCTGTATGTACAAACCTGTATCCAGCCCATTTGGGGGAATTTTTTTCTTCTTTTACTAAACTGTGTACCTTTTGCTCTCTGCGATACTAAAACCAACTACCGATTTTCCTTTCTTCTTTTTTTTTTTCTCCAGCAGGCTATTCTCACAAGCCAGGATGGGTGAAGATAGCCTCACCCCTGCATAGGAGCAGGGAGCCTGGCTGGGGCCACTCCAGGTAGCAGAGGGCAGAGGCTGGAAGCTTCAATTGGAGTGTTTGAGTGTTTTTCCCCTGGGATAGATTTCCTCATAAAATAAATGTCTTGTCTGAATTAATCTTATTTTTAAAAGGAAAGAGTCATCATATTGTAAAGACCGATCATAAAAAGATGCATCAATCTGTCAGGACGCCTGGTATTTGTTTGGCATGCACAGCGCCCCAAGGCATCTGGACTCCAGGCTGGCCCTGCACAGTTTCACCTCTCCACCAGGGGTCCCTGCCGTGGCTCTGGACCTAGCTTGGGCTTCACGGAGTCTTTATATGAATCCTTACCATCTCGGGTGGCAGCTTTGCATCCTGAAGAAGGACACCGTGTCTGGGGAATGACCCCAGCCTCATACCTAGAACACTTCTGCTTGACAACTAATCAATATTGTCAATCTCCGACAATACTGCAGAAATATCTGCCTTTTGTTTTATTCTTTTAGAAAATCACATAAGCTGTAAATAAGCATATAAATAAAAAGCAAAACATCGTATGAGTCCTATATGAAGTGTCTGGCCTGAAAATTATGCATGTGAAACATTATGCAGGTAATACAGAAATAGGTGAACTGGTAAGTGGGACCATTAAAGTCCCCCTTTACAAAACCCCTCCAGAGTTACCCACTGTGACTACTTAATGAGTCTTCTCATCCACTTCCATGTTGTCTTAGTTACTTTTCTCATTGTTGGAACAAAATACCCAACACCCAAATTTAAAGGGGGAAAGGTTTATTTAGCTTATAGTTGATAGAGGTTTCAGCCCATAATTGGCCAGGTCCAAAGCAGGGTGGCATGGCAGAGGGGCATCACAGAGGAGAAACAGTTCATGGTGGGCAGAAGGTGGCAAAGCAAGCAAAAGAAAGACAAGCCTTTTTCTGTCTCTTATATCATATCCAGTCTACTTAGGGAAGGTAGCTCTCTCACCCTTAATCCTAGTGCCCTTGAGCCTAGCATTGCACTAGGATTGATCCTAGAGTCACACACTCTAGGTCAGGCCACCTCTGAAAAAGTCCCCCCAATGACTACATGAGGCTCCGGGGGACATCTAGACATGAGCCATAACACATGTATTTCTATTCATCCCCGAAATGATATACATATGTAATTCATCTTTTGTTATGTGAATAGGATCATATCAAATAGACCTTTTCAAAATCATGTTAGTACTGTTTTCTTTTGTGTAATATTTGATTTGGGGTTCCTTTAAAAAATAACTATAAAAGAACACACTTTTATCATAAAACCCTCAAACTTTATAGAGGTATAAAACAAGAACCCAAACTAAAGTCCTCTCCTTCCTGTACTTTCAGTCCCACTCCCCAGAGGAAACCAATAAAGTAAATGTATTTTTGTGTATCCTTCTAGCGATGACTATACACACGCAATCATTTCAACACATACATGCTTAACTTATTCATTTTGTAGATGAAAAACTGAGGGCTCAGAGAGGCCAAGTGACATATGTGGGGCCACACGGCAGACTGGGGCAGAGGTGCAGAGCTCAACACTCTGACTTAGAGGGATTTCTACCTCTACAGTGTCTGCCGAGACTCAGTTTCTGCTGGTGCCTCTGACCCCTCGCTACTGTCAACCTTGTCTGTTACACTTCTCAAGAATGGCCCATGTCACTGTCCCATCCCACCAACACCCCTGTGCCAACCTGAACCTGTGTTCTGCTGGCCAGCACGGGGCCGGCCTAGTCCTGGGTTTCTCCAGTGCCTGTGCTCCCTGCTGGTAGAGCCACCCAGCTGGCTTGTGTTTGCCCTTTTGGTCCCTAAATGATCAATGATGGTGAGATGGACAAAAGGGGCCTCTCCAGGACCCTGCCATCTGTGGACATCCAAGTTGTCCTGTTCCCCCTCTCTGGTGCCCGGTCTTGGGGCCACTGGTCTGCGAGCTCGACCGAGGGGGACAGGAACATGCACATAACCCGCCTGTGTCTGCCATCAGCTGGCGCCCCTCCCCCACTCCATGTATCAGTCAGTGTTTACTAGGGAAACAGATTTAATGCAAGATACACAAATACATAAGGATTCACAAGACCGGCTCACAATGCCTGCAACAGAGTCAAGTGTGGAAGAGGGCAAAGGGCTGCCTGTGCCCTGGAGGTCTGAAGGATCAGTGGAAGGCCCAGAGCTCAGAGTAATGTTCCTTGCGAGTCCTTATAAGGAGGCCAAAGTGTCTGAGCTGGAAGCCAGGAGATGACGTAGGTGGTGAAGGGGAAGACAGAGCTCCACTGAAGTTCCTTCTCCATTTCCCCTTTATATCATTAGGTAGGAAGCCGCCCCAGCATGGGTCTTCTGTCTTCATAAATCCCCTCACCCACACTCAGAACCATGCTGATCCAATTTAGGTGGGGATTTCCTATTCAGGTTCACACAATCGGGTAACTATCACAATCCACCCCTTGTCAACTTGACAACTGGACACATTTCTTTAAGCCATAGTCTCCAGATACAAAGAAGAGTCCATAATTAACACCTAACATGTTGTAACTATCTTGGATACAAACCCACTAATCCCCTCCCCAGAATAGAAGGCAAGTTTTACTTGGGTGGGTGATGCTAACTAACCTGTCATAACTTGAACATTATAACATAGGTTTAACAATACTTAAGAACCAATATTAAGTCTATCAACATTTTATTACATAGGAAGCATATCAGGAGAGAACCACTGCCATTACAGTCCACATTTCTGCAGCTGATCACAGGGTCGTAGATGGTATTTAACTACCTTCTTCTACTATCCATTCTGTACTCTCTTGGCCTTCAGGAAGCACCTCAGCAGGTCTTGGTTCTTCCCCTGGTGGTGTGACCCATATCTTCATCCTGAAGGTTCTGGGCCGTTTGTCATTCTGCCTGGACTGTGTTGTTGTAGTTTCTCACTGACTTTGGTAACAGGACATGGTAATACTAGGAGGCCCCCTAAGGGATCTCCTGCACTCCAACTATAATCTACCTTTCCTCCACTGGGGAGTAATAGTCCAGTTTTCCCTTGATGGTCTGGCTCAATCCCCTACAAATATTTTTACGTCCCTTCCCCATATGGAGAGGTCTACCCACATGGCTCCCTGGATATCTTTGTGACCAATTTTCCAGTCATGTTCCTTCCAAGTTCCTGACCATCCGGCCAGACCATTAGCTACAGCCTATGAATCTGTATACAGTTGCACATCTGGCCACTTCTCTTTTCAGGAAAAATGTACTACCAGGTGCATTGCCCAAAGTTCTGCCCACTGTGATGATTTCCCTTCATCACTGTCCTTCAGGGATGTCCTGGAAAACAGCTGTAATGTTGCAGCTGTCCACTTGTGAGTGGTGCCTGCATACCGTGCAGAGCCATCTGTAAATCAGGCCCTACCCTTCTTTTTCTCTGACAGCTGATCATATGGTCACCCCATGAGGCCACAGGTGCATGCTGCGAAGAGGGAGTAATATAGCAGGCCTAGGAGCCATGAGCATCAGGGGAACTTCCTCACGTAACTTGTACCCTCTGGATCTGCTCTGGCTCAATCACATACATAAAATTTCCATTTAACAGTGGACTGTTGCCATGCATGCCCAACCATATGACTCAGTGGATCAGGTAATACCCAGCCCATGGGGAGCAACCCAGGTCACATGGTAACCTGGTGTCACATGGTCAAGTGTTTAGTTTCCACTAAGGCCCAGTAGCAGGCCAGGAGCTGTTTTTCAAAGGGAGAGTAGTTGTCTGCAGATGATAGCAGAGCCTTGCTCCAAAATCCAAAAGGTCTCCGCTACAATTCACCTATGGGGGCCTGCCAGAGACTCCAAACAGCCTCTCTACCTGCCACTGACACATCAAGTACCACTGGATCTGCTGGATCATATGGCCCCAGTAGCAGAGCCAGCCTGGACCTATTGCAGAATCTTTTCATATTCTGAGCCCCACTCAAAACTAGCAGCTCTCTGAATCACTCAGTAAATGGGCCATAGTCAAACACCTAAGTGAGGAATGTTGCCTCCAAAATCCAAATAGACCCCTAGGCATTGTGCCTCTTTTTTGGTTGTAGGGGGGAGCCAGATACAACAACTTATCTCTTACCTTAGATGGGATATCTCCACATGCCCCACATCACTGGACTCCTAGAAATTTCACTGAAGTAGAAAGATCTTCAATTTTAGTTGGATTTATTTCCCATCCTCTGACTCTCAAATGCTACCTCCTCTTCACTTGGCCCAATCAGCATAACATCATCAATGTAATGGACCAGTGTGATACTTTGTGGGAGAGAAAGGATCCCTGTGAACTAAGTTGTGACACAGGACTGGAGAGTTAATATAACCCTGAGGTAGCACAGTGAAGGTGTATTTCTGGCCTTGCCAGCTGAAAGAAAACTGTTTCTGATGGTCTTTATGGATAGGTATGGAGAAGGCATTTGCCAAATCAATAGCTGCCTACCAAGTACCAGGAGATGTGTTACTCTGCTCAAGCAAGGGAACCACATCTTATACAGCAGCTACAATCAGCATCACCACTTGATTCAGCTTGTGGTAATCTACCCTCACTCTGCAAGACCCATCTGTCTCCTGCACAGGCCAAATGGGAGAATGAAATGGAGAGGGATGGGGATCACCACTCCTGCATCCTTCAAGTCCTTTATAGTTGCACTGATCTCTGCAGTCCCTCCAGGAATGCGGTACTGTTTTGGGTTTACTATTTTTCCAGACAAAGGCAACTCTAATGACTTCCATTTGCCCTTTCCAACCATAATAGGCCTCACTGTACAGGTTAAGGAATCAATGTGAGGATTCTGCCAAGTACTAAGTATATCTATCAGAACTATGCATTCTGGAGCAGGGGAAATGATGACAGGATGGATTTGAGGACCTACTGGACACACTGTGAGTTGTACCTTTGCTAAAACTCCCTTGATCACCTGACCTGCATAGGCCCCTATGCTTACTGGAAGGCCACAGTGATGTTTTGGATTCCCTGGAATCAGTGTTAGTTCAGAACCAGTGTCCAGTAGTCCCCGAAATGTCTGATCATTTCCCTTCCCTCCGTGTGTAGTCACTCAGGCAAAAGGCCTTAGGTCCCTCTGGGGAAGGATGGGAGAAAGATTGACCGTGTAAATATTTGGTGGATCCGGATTCTCCCTCAAGGGGACCCAGGGTCTCCTTCATTCAAGGGGTTCTTGGTCTGAAACTGATTCAAAACTGGAAAGTGGTTGAGGGGCCGTGATTTCCTGTTACTATGATTGGAAGTAAGTTTCTGTTTATTTGCCCTTAAATTTTTTTGATTATATAAATGTTGTAAAAGTTTTGTAGGGTTCCCATCTATTTCACTTTTGGGAACACCGTGGCTCAGCCAAAGCCATAGGTCTACACATGTCAGACCATTCTGGTCACTGTTCTGCTTCTGCTGCCCATTATGGTTAGTGCATGCACCCTGCCTTTGGCAGTTAGGTGCTGTCACTTGACTCCTGCCACTCAGGGATCCAATCAAGCC